CCCTTGAGATCCCAATTAACCAGGTTTCACTGTATATGTCCACACTAAACCATGTACTTAAGTTGCTCAGCATACATTCCAACGGCCCTTGAGCTTTAATTTTATTTTGCGTTAATTGTCAACGCTGGCGATTTGAGAAAGCAAGAATATTTTCGATGGTACAAAATACTTTAAAATTCTCTACAGTAACCTATATACTATATATACGCTTCTCTAAATTTTATTAAAAAAACTTTTTCATACTATATGACATATAGTTTATATACATACATAATAAAATAATGGAAAACTGCTTCTGCGCTTCTCTCATTATTTAGTCAGTCGGATTGAAATGAAATGAAATGTATTTATTTGCATGAAATATGAAGTAAATTTAAAAAATGTCAGTATTAATAAAATAGTCCACTTATTTCTCTATAGTTTTGACATGTCAAATTTAGGTAGGTACATAAAACTTATTTTTGTTAACTGTCAGTTTTGGAAATTAATTAAACTAAAATTAATCATATTCTAGATTTCCTCATAGTTTGCTCTACATTATTCGATATTCTCGCTTTCTTCAGTAGCTAGTGATATAATAAATTATGTGATATATATATTGTTTTTTTTTTATAAATATGTATTAATAGATTTTTTTTACATCAATTAGCAATATTTGTAATGCTGCCCAGTGTATCGGCAGCTCATAGGAGAAATAGTTTTAAGCTAACATAATGTAGTACTGTGTACATTCCCATATCTTAGTATTATAATGCTATGATCAAATTTGATGTTACGTAGATGTGTGTACATAGCCTTATCTAGTATTCAACTGCAATCTGAGACTTACTGCAAGCAATGTTACCGTCCACAGTAATTGTTCTAAACTTAATTTGTGTGTTATTGCACGCCAGCCTATTGGCCAATTGATATTGATTTAATAAACTGACTTCCTATTGCTAACTTGGTTGTTTAATTATTTATTTTACCTAATATGATTTTGCCCCATTCGGTGTCGGGACCCTTGGTCCGTGGAGTTCTAGCGCTATAAGGCTTTCTAAGGAAATAGTAAAAAGGTTAGTCGACATCACAGAAGAACAAAGAGCTGGCAGCTACCTCGGACAAAGAATTAGTATGGCTTCTTAAAGGGGGAGCGCTGCCAGTATCTTCGAAAACCTTGCCTAAAGTAGAAGAAGTCCCTTCTTTTAATAAAATATATTTAATTCTTGTTTAAGGTTCATTATCCCAGTATACAATATTGGATATCAATGTATGTAGGTAACATATCACATTTTTACTATATTCTTATGTTATGCTTTTAAATTAAATTATTTAGGACACATGCCTCTTTAAATCTGCGTTGCTTACATCAGTGCTTCGTGTCGTTTTTGAACCGTAATATTGGTAAATAGGTAAGTTACCAGGCGAGCAGAAAACTGTTGAAAGCTCAATAATAGTACTGCTCTTAATTTCTGCATTCCTAGTACTCGCAGACAGACAGACAGAGTTACTTTCGCGTTTATAATATATATGAAGAATAATATTTGACGGTATTATCAGGCGAGCAGAAAACTGTTGAAAGCTCAATAATAGTACTGTTCTTAATTTCTGCATTCCTAGTACTCGCAGACAGACAGACAGAGTTACTTTCGCGTTTATAATATATATATGAAGAATAATATTTGACGGTATTTTAACAGGCGAGCAGAAAACTGTTAGAAGCTCAATAGTACTTTTCTTAACTGTTAAAAGCTCAATAGCACTGTTCTTAATTTCTGCATTCCTAGTACTCACATTTTATAAAAAAGATTGACGGTACGTGAACAAAAAACTTGAAATCTCAATAATACTATTCATAATTTCTGCATTCCTAGTACTGACATTTTATATAAAAAAGAGAGGGATTGACGGTATGTTACCAGGCGAACAGAAAATTGTTGAAATGTCATCAAAACTGTTCTCCATTTCTGAATTCCTATTACTTTTATATTTAAATATTAAAATACCTAATTATGGATTGTAATCTTAATAATACTATTCTTAATTTCTGAGTTCCTATTACTCTCTTATTATGTACATATAATAAATATGGTAACAAACAAAAGCAAAATTGGTGTATTGACTGTACCTCCGTTGCCAGGCGAGCAGAAAACTAGTGAAAAAAAACTATTCTTAAGTAATTAAGATTGTTTATGTCCTGCGCCATCGGTGTTTAGTCGACAAAAAAAAATATATGTGATATATCCATAAGATCAAGACGCTAATCAGGATACAGATACTTCTTTAATGTATGAAATTAACCTAATTGTTAAAACCGCGGGCAAAACTAATTTATGTACGTTTTAACGGAAAACTCATAAAACTGGAATTCCTTTTATGAATGAGCTGAATGAATGTCAGTTTCATAGATTAAATTGTAATTTAGATAGGTTTTAAAATCCTTTCAAGGGATAACTAACACTTCGGGCCTTGCATATATGCATGAATTATGTAAAGGATATCATACTTCCTCAATTGACTTGTCATGCCTCCATTAGGTATGGAGGTAATTTCACTAACATATCTTAACCATCAAAACTGGAACTGGGCAGAGGATGACTAGGTATCAATGAAGTAAAAAATTGAAAGAAACAAGACATTGGTTCTAAACACGTCCTTTATTCAAATACTGTACAGGCTGTATTATAAAGACCATATGATACAATAACAACGCGTCTCGCAGTTCACTAGGCAATTGGCCGTCGAACAAAGTTCCGGACCAACCTGTTTGGAAGAGTCCTCGTGTGATCCTTAAATTATCTTCTACGGTAGAGCTGTGATAACAATTTTAAAATGACCCATGGGCGCCGGCAGTAACACATATCTTTCCTTTAAGTTTTTCACATAAATATTAATATATTTTACCATGTAGGTACTACAGAATAACAAATAAAATTCATCAACATTTTGTAATTATAATAATCCAGAACATACAGCGCCATCTACTTAAGCAAAGATTATGTTATGGGCATTAGACAACTGATATAAATACATTTCTTTGTAAATACATACACAAAATACATAGAAAACACTCAGACCAATACAAACAATCATACACATGAATACAAATGTCTGTACTCTGCGAAGAATCGAACTCGCGCTATTGGAAGTAAGGTCATGTCTAAACCGCTATACCACCGAGGCCATTTGGAAAAATATCACATTGGTTGGAAGTCCTCCTAGCGGCACCCATAATATTCATTCATGCAATTTCAGTTTTCTATTCGTATGTATATTGTAAAGTACTGCGCTATCAGTTTACAATTTTAGTACCGTTTATATATTATATATTACTTTTGATTCGACTTAACTATAACATAAATATATTGCACCGATCGCGGAGTACTGTGGAGGACGGCGAGGCGAAACTTTGTCGAGTGAACAAACGCGCACGCTGCTCGCTTACAAATTCAACATCACACTTTATGCGCATTAAAATTGGTAATAAACGGAGCTTGATGCATACAACACGCGCTGGTAAATATTCACTATTCAAAATTAATATACACTGAATCTATATACGTTAAATATATCTAGTTTGTGTTATTCAGACAAGATCGAAACTTTAAAAAAACATTGTTATATTGTGCAAATCAATTTCATTACTCAATAGATTTATAAATTTGATAATTCCGCTACAATTAGCACGTGTGAGACCACAGTTATATATCGTATCAACCGACATCAACTTATTACTTCAACATTATTTTTATTTATACTTTATTGCACCAATAACAAAAAACCATACCACCATAGTAAATATATATTAACTGAAACAAAAGACGGTTTTATCGCTAAGCAATAACTTCAAGATATATTCCAGTATATATTTACCAATACGTATGGTATACATAACGCTCATACGGGCCGGCCACGACAGCGGCGAGGCGCGCTCAAGCTACCAATGGAAAGGAATGACTTAGATTTATCTCATCTTATGGAACACCTACACTCCGTATCGTTGGCACCGAGCGGAGCCATTATATAATACATAGCTACAAAACTCTCACGCGAGACACTTGGAGGGATTTGGGAAGTACATGTATGATTAATTTATTAAAACGTGATATTCACGAGGACACCACGTATTTACTACGGCACGAGGTATATGTCAATTACAATAGAACGGTACATATACAGTGGCCGTTAGTATACAGTGACGTAGCACCAGTTATGTGAGCACTTCATTGTTTGTAATGAGAATTTGACAAGTTTAGTACACAGACGCAACACGGCTAGCTGCTTACAAGACCCATTAAAAAAATATGTTATTTTTCTTAAATTATAACAACTGATAAAACATTCTTATTTTTAATAGTATTGTAATTACTTCTTGTATTTATAGGAGGAAGAAGAAACAGGGGTTAGTTATTTAACGTCAAACTTTGGAAAATAATAATAATAATCTCAGTACAATTTATACAGCGCCATCTAGACCCAAGTTAAGCTAGCTAAAACTTGTGTTATGGATACTAGATAACTGATACAAATACGTAGATATATTTTTTTCGTAAATACATACATAGAAAACACCCAGACCGATACAAACTATCATACTAAGGAATACAAATGTTTGTCCCGAGGAATCGAACGTACGACCATCGGAAGTAAGGCAGTGTGCTCAACCGCTAGACCGCCGAGGTCGTCAAAAACAGTTTGAAAATAGGGTTGCCATGCTTACATAAATATTATAAATTATGACGGAGGCCTGTGGAGTGTCGCGCCGTGCATATATGGGATCATACCTACATTTAGTCATAAGGGGCCGTTCAAGTATTACGTAAGTAGATTTATTACAATTATTTACGTATAAAAGCCCTATGCTTACGTAAACATTTTTCAATTAATGTATTATTTTTTAGCAAAGACAATGTGAGGGTTGACATTTGCGTAAAAAAGTAAATAATTACCGATGACGTAATCATCATCTAGTCTCGCCCCCCATGTCATCCAAAATAAGCAAAGCAAAGACCCCACCCCCAAATAGTGCTTACGTAACACTTGAACGGCCCCTAAACACAGGACTCATACCAAAATGACATCACTACATTATTTCAACGTTATATCGGATATAATATTTTATACTGAAACATTCATCAATAATTTCGTAAATTAAACCAAATTTTGATCCCATACACTTCGTAATGCGTAGTCATACAGTCTAAATGATAAAATTTCATGTCAAGGAACACTGGAAATAGTGACCGGAGTGCGACGCGCTGCGAGCGTCGTAGTGTCACGTTTACTAATTCAGGAAGCGAATCTCGACCGCGCGGTCGGGCGGCGGTCCACACGTCCGCCGACAACGGGGGAAGCACACACGCAATTCAATCAATATATAGGAACATTCAGTCGTCGCGTCGTTCGTTACACAATTCAAAAGTTGCCTACTTACAATAAAAAATAATAAAAACATTGTAAATCATATAAAACCGCTCGGATTGCACGAACACAACCATTCTTATAGAATTTCTATGGATATTAATATTAATAATAATCGTTCAACATTATTAAGTTATAAATTGTAAAATAATTTATGGCCTAAATTATATTATCAATGTAAAAACAATAAATATGCTTGGTTTCGCCATCCACAGCGGGACCGAGAGTAATACAAGCTACGAGTCGCGGCGGCGGGCGGCGCGCTCGCTACCTTACATTGTACTTCACACCGCACTGGCCACACGTGGTCATACCATAGACTACAGAGTTCACGAGTGACACTTGAGTAGCAGCGAGCGCGGCGCGCGCCCCGCTCAGGTATATACTCAGGTAGTACCGAATCTCATATTAATACTGTCCCGGCATCATCACAGCGGTCCGCCCGTAGACGTATAACAAAATAAATAGATATCCGGCCGGGCGCCACGCAGCGATCACGCTGCGGTCAAACAGCGGTCGCGCGGCGGTAACGCAGCGACCACGCAGCGGTTACGCAGCGGTCACGTGTGCAGGGTGACGCAGGCCGCTACCGCAAGCCGGTCCGCTTCGCGCCGCTCGTAAGCCGGTGGCTACCTGTATATATATATAAATATAATATTTTTTATATTGTATTTTATATGCTGCCTCCTCTATTTCAGTAGCTTGCTTTGTAAGCTATATTTTGGTTGAAGGGTGAGATATAGCAGTGAAATTTCGCAAACGAGGCATGGCACCTTTGTTCTCTGTAATATCAACGCATAAGGGATACGACAGGCGTCACGTGCCATTTTGCTGTTAAATAAAACCATTGGACAACCGTCGCCTATATACATATAATGTGTATAGGCAAAGGTTGTCCCTTTACTGGGCTGTTAGTTTGTTCGTTATTTTAGTTATATAAAAAAAAAACAATCATTGCCACCATCGTAATGTAAAGAAAATCACAACATTCTACACATAGCTAAGTTTCATCGTACAATGGTATTTTTATCGAATCCAGTAACTCTATTTATTGAGCTATTCCTTCTGAACAATTACGTTGTCAATGTTGATTTAAATACAATCGTCATAAAACGTCAGATTCTAATGTCGATCGATCGGTCGAACACGGTCAGGTGGTGCTGTGGTCAGGTTGTCAGGAGCCACCTGGTCATGTAGACTGGTACGCAGGTGTCAGATGGTGCGGTGTCTCGTTGTCTCGTGTACCTGTTGTCGTGGGGGTGCAGCACGACCCGCTGCAGGTCTCTCCTGGCGAGCTGGTGTCGTAGTGTCAGTCGGCGGGTGGGTGTTGTCTCGTGTACCTGTTGTCGTGGGTCAGGTCTCTCCTGGCGAGCTGGTGCGTAGTGTCAGTCGTTGTCTCGTGTACCTGTTGTCGTGGGGGTGCAGCACGACCCGCTGCAGGTCTCTCCTGGCGAGCTGGTGTCGTAGTGTCAGTCGGCGGGTGGGTGTTGTCTCGTGTACCTGTTGTCGTGGGGGTGCAGCACGACCCGCTGCAGGTCTCTCCTGGCGAGCTGGTGTCGTAGTGTCAGTCGGCGGGTGGGTGTTGTCTCGTGTACCTGTTGTCGTGGGGGTGCAGCACGACCCGCTGCAGGTCTCTCCTGGCGAGCTGGTGTCGTAGTGTCAGTCGGCGGGTGGGTGTTGTCTCGTGTACCTGTTGTCGTGGGGGTGCAGCACGACCCGCTGCAGGTCTCTCCTGGCGAGCTGGTGTCGTAGTGTCAGTCGGCGGGTGGGTGTTGTCTCGTGTACCTGTTGTCGTGGGGGTGCAGCACGACCCGCTGCAGGTCTCTCCTGGCGAGCTGCTGCCGCGGCCGCGAGCCCAGCTCCGCGGTTCCGTCGCGCCCGATGTACAGCTGCAGCCCCGAGCCTGCACACACCACGGACAACACTACACTCAGACAAATTCACGATTCTCTAATAACAATATGCTCTTAGTTACTATATATATTTATAACTGGAAGTCTTCGTCTTTTCGTGGTTTTAACCCGTGACTTATAATGATGCTGATTGCTGATGAATATATACATATACACGGGTGTATATATATTATTGTAGATTATACTATATATATATACTAGTTACTCGCTCCGGCTTCTCACGAGTGTACATGTATTATACGTATAAACCTTCCTCTAGAATCACTCTATCTATTAAAAAACCGCTTCAAAATCCGTTGCGTAGTTTTAAAGATTTAAGCACACATAGGTCCGTGTCTATGTGCAGACAGCGACTTTGTTTACTATGTAATGATATATATATAAAACTACTATTACATATGAGGTAGTCAGAGACATTGTCAAGTGTCGACGTTGTGGTTTCCCTAACATGGTCCACATATCGCTGAATATATTAGAATCAATAAAAAATATGATAATTTAACCAATGTTATAACTTTATACCTTCAAGTTAAACCGTCTGAATACCAATCACAACTAACCTAAGTCATTACAGTCAAAATATTAAATACACAACCAACTGGTTGAGTAACTAAATAAGAGTAAATCGTAGTGATTAGATAGAAATAGAAATAATCTTTATTTAAATAAACTTAATATAAACACTTTTGAATAGTCACATTATTTTTATTCTCCCACTCATTCGGAACACAGACTCATCGCAAGAAGAAGATTCTAACCTTCAAAAAAACCTTTCACATCAAAATAATAGTAAAGAAAAACATATATACAGTGAGTATATACAATTGCGTACATGTATAGTACAGTTGTAAAGATTTTATTGTACAATATGTGAGGTGTGGTGTACTCACTCTCCGCGGAGTCATCGACGGCCTGCTTGAGGTCGGTGGCTGCGAGCAACTCGTCGATCAGGGAGTCGGGGTTCACGCGCGTGTTCTCCACGCGACAAGACACCACGTGCTGCCGGACGAACACACATAAAAATATACACATATATATAATAAAAAATATAGCCTATGTGTTATTCTGATGTATAAGCTATATTACTGTAAAGTTTCATCAGAATCCATTCAATAGTTTTTGCGTGAAAGAGTTACAAACAAACATTATAAACGCGAAAATTTGTAAGTGTGGATGTTTCTTACTCTCTCACGCAGTAATATAGCTTATGCATCAGAAAAACATACAGACTATATATTTTAGTGAAACTTATATACTGAATTTTAATGCAGGTGGAGCCGCTGGCAAATCTAGTATATAATAATAACCCAGGACAAATTGCACAGCGCCGTCTAGTCCCGAAGTAAGCTGAACTTGTGTTATGGATATTAGACAACTTATAGATATACTTAAATACATTTTATTGTAAATATAATAATATATATATTCTCGACTTCGAGACTACAGCATGGGGATGTTCAAAACGGCCAGGGCAGAGAGAGGGATATAAATTGGTGTATATACACTTAGGTTGTGGAATGAACTTCCTGCCGAGGTTTTCTCCCGAGACTACAGTATGGGGTTCTTCAAGACGGGTATATTAAGGTTTCTTAAGGGTCGGCAAGGTGTCGACACGTGACACCTCTGGTGCTTCAGGCATCCACAGGCCATGGACTTCATTGCCCATTTACCATCAGATGGGCCGTATGCCTGTTTGCAACCATAGTAGTACAAAAAAAAGTTCAAAAAGGATATATTAAGGTTTTCCCGTGACATTCCTGGTGTCTATAGGCTAGGGCAGAGAAGAGAGAGATATATATAAATTGATAGATTTTTTCTTTAAGATTTTGTGATAGATATCCTTTCACGCAAAAACTACTGAATGGATTCTGGTGACAGGCGAAGCGGTACTTCACTGCGGACCAGAGACTCCTCTTATATAAGTCTCACGTTCGGCCGCACATGGAGTACTGCTCTCATCTTTGGGCAGCACCTGGATACCAGCTCGGTCCTTTTGCCTCGGTTCAGAGACGTGCTATGAGAATTGTCTATGATCCCAATCTCTAGCGGTATCGAACCACTGAGTTTGAGGCGAGACTTCGCTTCGCTTTGTGTGTTCTACCGATTATACAACGGACTGTGTTCTGAGGAATTGTTCGACATGATGTCTACTATCACTTTTTATTATGGCATCGCTCGCCATCGACAGGGAATTCATTCCCACACGCTGGAACCTAGGTGGTCTCGAATAGCGCGGTTTCAGAGGAGCTTCCTCCCGTGTACACTTAGGTTGTGGAATGAACTTCCTGCCGAGGTTTTCTCACGAGACTACAGCATGGGGTTCTTCAAGAAGGGTATATTAAGGTTTCTTAAGGGTCGGCAACGCGCACGTGACACCCATGGTGTCAAGCGTCCATAGGCGGTAACTATTTACCATCAGATGGGCCGTATGCTTGATTGCCACTATAGTAGTATAAAAAAAATCACAGGTCTATTGGAGTGTGTGGTACCTGGGCGTCGTCGGGCGGGGGCGCGGGCCGGGCGCGGCGCTCGAGTGCGGGCCGCGGGCGCTCCAGCGAGCCGCCCTCGGAGGCCGACGCCGTCGACACGGAGCCCGACGACGGGTTCCTGTACACACCGACTCCCTCAATTAACTCTCAATATTAACACGTTCGATTCCAACTTAACCTACCAGTTAGTACGTTTAAAATCTAATAATAAAACCAGTATTGTTTAAATTAGAAATAAATAATAGAAACATTATAATCATGCTTATAAATGTATTAATTCTGCATGCTATATTATAATTGCGTATTCGACACACAGACGTGCATTATTATACTTGCAGTATAAAGCAATTATAGTAGTTGCTTTAAATATATAAAATAGTAAAAAAAAAGGATCATGCTATGAATAAATTATATTAAAATAATCCAAAACTAAGAAATTGTATATCTAATACAAAACTGCTAATTTAAACTTATCTAACACTTTTTTATAATTGTACACATTTAATATATATTTACTGATATTATATTTGCAATCAACAACCGATATTCCGATGCTGTTGTAGCAGCACACATCATTCGTGTAAAACAGCTACGCGCCAACTGCCAGCGCAATTTTTTTCGGACTACTCTAATACTGTTGGCCGCAGCTGGCCTTTACAGCTTCACCAGATGTTAGGCGGCGAGTGCAGATGGCACTCCAAACCAAAGGAAGGACTTATGGAGCGGCTGAAAGCCAACTCCCGCCTGACGGATACGACTTTAGTCTGAGGGCACCGCTAGGGTTCGAACCTCGGCTCAAGCCGTCGTAACATCGATCCCCGTTTGAATTGGACGGGGGATCGATCGGAGGGGACGTATAACTGATGAACGCGTCAAATTTAAAACAGATTGTTACAAAATCGCAAACGTACCTATATTAATCTGTTGCAATCAATTGTTAGCAACTGGGTTACATAATAAGATAGCTATTACAATATCGGTAAATGTACTATTAAGATAATGCATACAATCAATCTAGTTGGCTAGCTACTACTGCCCCGTAAGCGTAGGGTTGCTCGCCAACTTGCTCGGCCGCTCGCGTAACTGCGTGCGATCGAACGTGGCTCCACATGGACGAGAAGCTACACTAGACAGTTCACAACGATACGATACGACACGACACGACATCGAGTTATCCAGACGTCTCGGAACAGTTTTGACATATAAAACGGAATAGTGCGTGGTCACAGTGGATGGGCGAGAACGGTTTGTAGTGGATTCAATGCTAGGAGCGGAACACGATCCGTGATGCATACAGTGAGGGGTCGAATCTATACATATAAATAAAATTATTAAGTAATATTAAATATAATTAGTAAGTGTACGGACACGTACACTTATTGACTGATTTTGCCGAACTTTATACTTATAATTTGTTACAAATGTGTATGATTGTTTGTATCGGTCTGGGTGTTTTCTATGTATATTATGTAACTATTAAAAAAAAACTTTATGATTATTAGGCCCCTAAGTAGATTTAGCCTGGGGCCCCACAAATTCGATCCGCCCCTGAGCGTGGAGTTTAATGATAGACTCCATGGAGGCCTATCTAATTATATTACTCAACTAAAAAAATATTCCGACCAAAAAGGAGCGAGCAAAAATTCCTCGTTTCTCGATAGACGCGCACTAGCATGGGTTGATTGAACTCAGGGTTGCCAACCTTATGATAGGTTTTTAACATTCTAGATATTTTTTATGTTCTAAATATCATTTCAATGGGGACTGCGGCCCTTTGTATCCTCGGGGAACTGGACTGCAGCCCAAAAAGGCGAAGATCCCTTAGGCGGATCCGCCCCTATTCACGCTGATGATAATTTCTATAGAAACATCGAGAGACATAAACCTTTATTTACCATAAATATATTCGTCTAACTAGTCGAGGTTAATAGGCAGTTAAAAGATTAATAATCTAATAATAATCTCAGGACAATTCACACAGCGCCATCTAGACCCAAGTTAAGCTAGCTAAAGCTTGTGTTACAGGTACTAGATAACTGATACATATACATAGATTTTTTTTTTGCAAATACATACATATTAAGAAAACACCCAGACCGATAAAAACAATCATACTCATGATTACATTTGTTTGTGCCGTGCGAGGAATCGAAGCGGCGACCATCGGTCGTAAAGCGGTGTGCTAGACAGCTAGACCACCGAGGTCGTCATTAGTATGTTTTTATTGAATAAGTATACAAAAGTCAATAATGATGTACCATATACACTTAAATGATGTTATCTCCTTTTAGAAGTTGATAACATAACGATTCTCATTTGAAACATAAATATGTATAAACATTTCTTAGTTGCAATTGCGAACCGTACAATTTAGCTCTCATTTGCAGCTTTCAAGTGCTTACTACAAAATTTCAAACCTATCGATTTCAATCTGTTGCAATTGAGAATTGTTAGTAACAATGTAACTCCTGTATTGATTACTTAATGGACACCAGAATCGCTTTATAATTTCCTTTTCGTGTAAACATGTTGTGTATTTAATTTATAATAAATGTAAAATATATTGCAAACTATTTATTAGAAAGGCTTCAATGTTTCATATAATCTTTATAACCGTTTTAGACTGTGACTACGCATTAAACGTTTGAAATTCCATACATAAATCTCGCAACGTCTATTTTCAAGCACAACGCAACTATATTCAATATATCTGAACGACACATTTAAAAGTAGTCTTATAGCAACCTAAACATTAACTATAGAATTAGCTGGAGTTATGAATTTTTTTTTAGACTTCTTTTTAATAATACTATAAAATTACTTTTCATAATTATCAATAACAATGCAAATAGACAGCTTTAGCAATAGACGTTGACAGACTTGTGTATAGGATTATATGTAATCGTATCGCGAGACGTCCGGACGCGTTACGTGGCGGCTGGCGGCGTACTGACAGTGCGGAGCTGGGGCGTCGCGGCAGCGAGCCCGCGCCGCTCCACCCCTCGCCGCCCCCCGCACCGCCGGCCCCGCCCCCCGCAGCGCCGGCCCCGCCCCCCGCTCCTCCTCCCCCGCCGCCGCCGCACTCCGCGCGTCTGCACCACACGACACCTGTACCCTCTAGCACCACTCGACAGTACAAACAGGAAGGAAAGACACCAAGCCAGAGACAGAGACAGAGGAGCCCGCGCCCGTTAGTGCGTGTTAGGAGTGGGAGCGCACGCACTCACCTGGTGCGGTCCGTGTAGCTGTGCCGCAGCCCCCCCGCCGGCCCCGGGTACGCGTCCCCCCCCTTGGGCGTGGACGTGAACACCTTCTCCTCGTTGAGGGTCCGGTTGGAGAGGCTCTTGAACCTGTGCCGCACGTCGATGCGCTCCGCCGAGCCGGCGTCCACCTCCGGATCCGAGGGCACGCAGTAGAACTCGTCCTCTATGCAGCCGGACAGCCTGTTCGAGTTCGACACGAGCGAGCTCTTGCGGTGCGCGAGCGGCGTTAAAAACGGAAAGTTCGTGAACAGCTCCTCGTTCTTTTTGGTCTTCTCGAGCAGCGCCGGGATGGTGTTCAGGGATTTCTGCTTGAATATTTGGAAGTTGGTGAGCGGCTGCACGGCGGCCGCGACCACGCTGACTGCGGCGCGCTTCTTGCTGTCGAAGTAAGTTGGCATCGCGAACGAGTGGTCGTGACCGTTCTCCATGATGGTGGAGTCTGGCGTGCGGTACTCCTCCGAGGGCGGCGAGTGCAGCGCGTGGCGCGGGATGACGTCTGGCGGGCCGGTGAGCGTGGTGTTGGGCGTGAGGTACACGTCGGACGTTTCGCTGACCACGGTCTTCTCCAGCATCAGTTTGGTGAGCGGCCGCGCGTGGCCGCCGTGCTTGCTATTCTGCGTGGGGACGTACAGTGTGGTGGTGGTTGTCGTGGTCCGCTCTAGACGTATACTGCGGGACGGTGGCGGGTGGGCGAATAAAAAATAAAAAGAAATTAATAAAGCAAATAAATACAGAGGCGGCATGGGATAAAAAAAAATGGAAAGTTAGTTACGTGCGGTACATACAGTGGTTACAATGTGGCGGGTGAGGTCTGTACAAGGAGGGATATAGTGTACAATGCACCGATCGATGCCAATTGATCGTGTACGCTCCCACTCCCGCACGGCTCCGTACGGAATACTTACGGCTGGTTTACTATAGTTTCGTGATACGATGACGGTGAGCAGTACAAGAATGAGCACATGAAGGCCGGTGGCGACCGTGTGTACCTGTTGTGGTGCGGTCGGCCTGCGTCTGCGGACTCGCCCTCGGAGCTCTGCCGCGAGTGCGCGGACGCCGCGGACGCCGAGCTGCCGTACCCTGACACCTGCAATGCAGAAACGTCACATGTATTAACATTTACCTGCTGATAATGAAAAACAAATTATATAGAAATAGAAATAGAAATAGAAATAATCTTTATTCAAATAAACTCATTACAAGCACTTTTGAATAGTCATATTTTGATTCTACCACTCATTCGGAATGCAGATTCATCACAAGAAGAATGAGCAAGAAACTTGTGTGTTGCTCTTTTGAAAAGATATTTTCTTTATATAATAATTACAGTATAACAAATAAAGGCATGCGATAATCAACATAGAAATCGCTACGCACTCATTATTAGTGTAATCAGATAATATTGTCAGTGCTATGGATTTAAAGTTTTTCTATAAAACATTATTATCGTTAACGAATTCTTCAATTTTATAGTAAGCTTTTTTGCAAAGGAAGTGTTATATATGACATTTAAATATTTTTCAGGCAGATTTATAACATACTCTGGTATTTTGTTCAAAAACCTTACGCAATTGCCCTAAAACGAATTACTAACTTTAGCCAAACGACATTTAGGTAAAATCAGTTTGTTATTGTTACGTAAGCTTTTATTGGTGCAATCACTAACTCTTTTGAAACTGTCTATATTCCTTCTGGCATAGATGATATTTTCATAAATGTATTGAGAAGCAACGGTGAGGATATTTGATTCCTTAAAACACTCTCACAATGACTCCCTGGAACCCATACCATAAATGGAGCGAATGGCCCTCTATATCATTAATTAACACCATGTACCTTTGATTCGCAGTCTTGCTGCGGAAGAAAGATACATGGTGTTCTCATAATTAGACATGTCATAATGATCACGTTCCCCATATTGAACAATCCATAGGAGTACAAATCTCGGCTTCTTGCTAGCCATGGTATGGCTCCTCGCCTGCCCATTCCATTTATTTCTATTCCAGCTTCTATGTTACCAATTTAAGTTTCTTGCCAGTTCCTCTCAATTGGATCTATATACTGCACTGGACGGTAGTGAAAAAATTATTCCTAAGCGGATAAAATGCCCTACATGAATGAATGATTTTTGAAATTTGTATTAATATTAATATATTGGACATATGTATGTACGATGACTTGTTTACTTCGAGTACCTAATTTATTGGCATTTCAACTTGTAATAATTTATCATTTATCAAGAGTCTCACGGCCTGCTGTCTTATTATACCTACATAATACTACACGTACAACGACTCAGATGAGAAGCTGATTGCGGAAAAGCAACTTACATATACCTTTATTATTGTATTCTTTCTTTATTTTTTGTCATATATTACTAGTATTAATATTATATAAACACTAAATTATTATATACACTCTGATCGCCGTACCAATGTAACGTAAACTGTCAAACCTGTTTTGATTTCCACCATACAGGCATATCTATTTTTTGAAAGCCAGTTTACAATGTATATATATAGGTGTCTATGTCTAACATTAAATGAAAATCCCGTACATGAACAACTATTGCCATGCACGCTCGTCATTAAAAATAGTTTTTTCCATATTTTATTATACTTTATGAGAGAGATTTAACTGCAGTCTATTTCCCATCGACCTATGACCTATGTGTGGTGATGAGGGGTGTTGGTGCTGTACCTTGCTGCTCATATCTCCGAAGGTATTGGAGGAGTTCCTGGAGTGCGTGTGGTGCTGCTGCTGAGCTAGAACCTATGTATGGTGATCAGGGAACGGTGGTGAGGGTGTTGGTTGGTGGTGTACCTTGCTGCTCATATCTCCGAAGGTATTGGAGGAGTTCCTGGAGTGCGTGTGCTGCTGCTGCTGAGCTAGAACCTATGTATAGTGATCAGGGAACGGTGATGAGGGTGTTGGTTGGTGGTGTACCTTGCTGCTCATATCTCCGCAGGTATTGGAAGAGTTCCTGGAGTGCTTGTGCTGCTTTTGCTGAGCTAGAACCTATGTATGGTGATCAGGGAATAGTGATGAGGGTGTTGGTTGGTGGTGTACCTTGCTGCTCATGTCTCCGGAGGTGTTGGAGGAGTTCCTGGAGTGCGTGTGCTGCTGCTGCTGAGCTAGAACCTATGTATGGTGATCAGGGAATAGTGATGAGGGTGTTGGTTGGTGGTGTACCTTGCTGCTCATGTCTCCGGAGGTGTTGGAGGAGTTCCTGGAGTGCGTGTGCTGCTGCTGCTGCTGGAGACACGCCGCCCGCCCGCCGCTGCCAGCGCACACCAGCGCTCCTGCCGACACCGAGCGCACACATATAGTTGTGTCTAACACATTTATAAGAGTTTTTGTTTGTAATTTGAATGGAAATGAAGAGCACTATGGACATCACGTTATCATGTGATACCACTGATCCGTTGGCATTCCGCCTTGGTGGTCTAGCGGTTTAGCACACCTCCGATGGTTGCGGGTTCGATTTCACGCACGGTGCAAACATTTGTATTCATGAGTATAATCAAACACATAGCGAGCACATACATTTATATTCATGAGTTTTATTGTTCGTATCGGACTGAGTGTTTCCTATATATATATATATATATAATATAATATGTAATGTATTTACGAAAAAAAAAACATACCCATAACACAAGCTCTGGCTAGCTTAACTTGGGTCTAGATGGCGCTGTGTGAATTGTCATGAGATTATTATTATATTGGTGAATGTGAAGCAAGTGAGTGGTACCTGTGTGGTCGGGCGCGGCGGTCCCCAATAGCACCAGCTCGCCATCCGTCAGCGGCAACTCGCACGACAGCTGCGACGGCAGCGGCTGCGAGTGCACACCTTCTGCAACACAGACCAACACATAAACTCTCTATGAAACATATTTAAAACTTGAAAATATCCCACCCTCAATTAGTAATCTAAATATATAAAACTCAAAGGTGACTGACATAGTGATCTATCAACGCACAGCTCAAACCACTGGACGGATCGGGCTGAAATTTAGCATGCAGGTAGATGTTATGACTAGGCATCCGCTAAGAAAGGATTTTGATAAATTCTACCCACAAGGGGATAAAATAGGGAATGAAAGTTTGTATGAAACTTTGTCAATTTTAAACCGATCAGGCTGAGACTTTACATGCATAAAGCTACTATGATGTAGGCATCCCCTAAGAAAGGATTTTGACAAATTCAATCCCCATGGGGATAAAATAAGGGATGATGCAGGATGTAAATGTATTAGTTTGAACCTATCAGTACCTAATGAAACGAATAAATTAAGACGAACAAAATAATTATTAGTTCTTTAGGCTACTTTTATTTTAGAAAAATAACGTTAAATTTCACGCGGACGAAGTCGCGGGACCAGGTAGTAATAATATAATATGGAACTCTGTGTATTTGTTAAAAATAATATGGCAATGCAAAGTCAGCTGGTATTATATACTTTTAAACATACTTGCTCGTAAAGTATCCCCTCTTATCAACCCCCTTCCAATACAAGCGGAGCTCGAAATTACCCCTAGTGGTGCCCTCAGACTAAAGTCGTATCAGGCGGGAGTTGGCCTTCAGCCTCTCCATAAGTCCTTCCTTGGTTTGGAGTGCCATCTGCACTCGCCCCCTATCATCCTTTGAAGCTGTAAAGCCAGCTGCGGCCAACAGCATTAGAGTAATCCGAAAAAAAGGCACAATTCATTCTGCTTCCATTGCTGTTTTCGACTCGAGACGCTTGAAATATTATTTCTTGTGTTTCTCTCCGCCTGCACCAGCAAATTAAAACCAGTACGGTTCGATCGAAGGCGTCCCGTACACTTAGAGTAGTCCGAAAAAAACACAAGTTACCGAGGCTCCTCAGTTTGGCTGCGTCGTCCGCACCGGCTGCGCTCTCTGTGCCACTGTCACCACCGCCCTTGTTCTCCAGCGCGTCCTGCTTCCGCTCCGGACTGTAGTCGTGGCAGTACCTATACCAACAACAGTATTTATTGTTAGTATACACTTTATTACCGTATGTGAACTGTAGCATGGTGTAGGTGACACGGGAACAGGGTAGGCGAACCAATGGCACGCGTGCCATTGACGGCACGCGACACAATATTTTGGGCACGTCGTCGATCATAAAACTGTTTGAAGAAGCTGGCTCATGCTATTTTAACAATATTTTCACCTACCTATGCCTGCGAGTCATTATTTCCAGAGATGAATAACATTAAAAACTCGGTTAGAAACCGTTTGACAGACGGATCCAGTTCAGCATGCATTTTGCTAAAAGTAACATCGTACAAGCCTGACATAAATTATTTTTTATCTAACCAGCAGCAACAGAAGTCACACTAATTTTACACTAATTTAATTTATGCGTGTAATGAAAAGAACCCAAAATGTACCTCTTTTGTTTACTTTATTTCATAGAGAGTATTGATTGTATTTATTATTATTATTTTCCAAATAATCAGAAAGTCAAAATTATTTGATGGCACGTCACTGACCCCATTAAACATTTTTTGGAAAAAATGACACGTTGATGCATAAAGGACTGGACTAGAACATTCTGTTTGGGTTAAATTTAAGTTACTACAGTTAATGATTTAATATATTACGAATGTGGTACAGCTGAAATACTAAGTCATAATTTGTAAATCGCGGCAACTTTAAGAGCGAAACGAAACGTTAATGTAACTGTCACCCGCACCATGCAGCGCACATGGTATATATAATATACTATTTATTACAGTTTTGTTTATATATGATTAGTCCACGGGTAAAAGTTGCAGGCAAAGTCGTGGGTAACAGCTAGCATATAATCAGCAGTCACAAAAAAATAACCTTCTACTCAATTTCTCTTTCCATTTCATACACGTCTAAACTTACGGCGTTGTTAATTAACAGACTACACTATAGCTACAATCACAGTTTGTTTTTAGGAGCAGGACAAACACATAACAAATCTAAGCTTGTGTTTAAAAAAGATTTGCCGATTTTACCCAATGGAAGATGATGAAGATGGAAACGCTAATACACATCCTATATAGTTGTAGCCCACTCATACATAAATGAAATATCTTTTTGTAGAAAAAAAAGCCATCGCTCCTATGTATATCCTTCAATTCTTGTCCTTGACGAGTCTAGGTAGCGAAGTCTAATTAAGGGTGGGCACAAGATCTACGCAGGTCGCAGAGCTACAGGTTCTACTTAGCACTGAGTAATAGCAAAACTCTTAATTTGAAAAAAAGGCGAATGGATCTACATAAAATAATAATTCCAACACTAACTGTAGTGTCCAAGGAATCAAGAGGTGATACTAAAATCATTAATTGAATTAAGTTAATTTAACAGAAACTTTAATTCACTACAATTAGAGAAAGCATCATCAACTGAGAGCAGCAGCATTGGACGTCTTCTGAGATAGCCCGGAAGACGTCCACTACTGAACAAAGGCCTCCTCCAAAGATCTCCACGACGATCGATCCTGCGCTGCTCGCATACAATGCCTTCCAGCGATCTTGACCAGATCGTCGGTCCACCTTACTGGAGGCCTTCCCACAATTAAAGAAATGCCTGTACTCAATTGACGAATTCTAAAGTCATTATTATCATTACTATTATTTATAATAACTGACAAATTAATTAAAAAAAAAAGATCAGAGACAATATAAACTGTAATCGAATAAATAAATAAAAAAAAACGAGGTCTTCAATGAAACTTACACTTTAAATAGTGGGTCCCCTGAGATCATGTTCATCTTGATGCGCAGCCGCAGCACTGAGTTGTCCTGGCGGCGGCGCGGGTCGTACCCCTCCAGCAGACAACGCCTGGTGGCCTCGCCCGCGCCCGCCAGCTCCGCCAGGTTCACGTCGCAGAATCCCAACTTCTGGTACGACCGTCCACCTGTCACACAATAATAAATCACGTGATCACCACCGCCCTTGAGCACGGGGAATTGCAGTCAATTGCCGGCCTTTTAAGAAAGTCTTATGGGTACTAGACAACTGATATAATTACATAAATAATTTTTTTAAAACATACATAATATACATAGAAAACACCCGGATCAATACAGACAATCATACTCATATATACAAATGTTTGTATTGCGCGAAGAAACGAACCTACGACTAAAATAAAGCGGTGTACTAAACCTGTAGGCAGTCTATCCGTATATAGGCGGTTACCACCAAGCTAGCAATGAAATAAAAAAAAAATACACATAAAACACAATATTGTTACAATAATATTGGTTGTAGACATAACATGCACCGAGCCATCTAGACACCGCACCGGTCAGCAATTTCACAATAGTTCATCAGGCGATATTACCTTTCCTGATGACTTGGCAATAGTCATTGCTGGTATCAATATTGATTGCGTAACGCCACCTATGCTCGCAGACACGTGTGCTAATTTCTGGGAGACAGGCCGACAATGTTTTCAGTTACGAAATCAACAAGAATTTTTTACTTTTATACATTTACGAGCTACTCGCCCCGGCTTCGCACGGGTGGACGCATATATCTATTAAAAAAAATCGCTTCAAAATCCGTTGCGTAGTTTTAAAGACTTAAGTATACATAGGGATGGACAGACAGCGAGAGCGACTTTGTTTTATACTATGTAATGACTAGCCACCACTAGTTCACCCGCGAGAAATGTATACCCTATATACTATTCCTATATATAATATATGCTATATTACTGTAAAGTTTCATAAAAATCAGTTCAGTAGTTTTTGCGTGAAAGAGTAACAAACTTCCATTCATACACACAAACTCTTGCATTTATAATATTACTAGTTGTGCCCGCGGTTTCACTCGGGGTAAATTTCAATATAAAATCTAGGTTATGTGTTCTGATGCATAAGCTATATTACTGTAAAGTTCCACCAAAATCCGTTCATTAGTTTTTGCTTGAAAGAGTAACAAACATCCATACTTACAAACTTTCGCGTTTATAATGTTATATTAAGATTAACATTTTCCTAAGTGATGAAGGGACTTACTAATACCGCTCGTAAACTTGCTATCTTTAAGTTTAAATTTATAGTTAAACATTTTTCTACAATATTAAAGTGCAAGGAATCCTAACTGCAGAACTGGCATCAACTCTCAAAACTTTCTTGCCAGTCAGAGTGTATTTAAACTACACATCGAGACCAGAAATCTATCCCCTGGGATATCGGCTTTGAGTTTACGCTCGTAACTCTTTTAACTTACTCAAAGTGTATTCATAAGATTTTGCAGTTTATTTACGAGTCTTTTATTTTATAATATAGGGGTTAAACGAGCTTGTGGCTCACCTGATGGTGAGTGATTACCGCCGCCCTTGAGTAAGGGGAATCGCAAATCCCTTGCGATCTTTTCAGAAAGCATAAGCTCTTTTCTTGAAAGTTTCAATAGAAAACACTCAGACCGATACAATCATACTCATGAATACAAATGTACCGTGCGAGGAATCGAACCGCGCCATTAGAAACTAAGGACGTGTGCTAAACTGCAAGACCACCGAGACCGTCAGAATATCGGTTACCATTACAAGTGTGGTCCATATATAGCTAGCAGCTTCGGGCTGTGTACTCACTGACCTGCAGACCTATCCAGACAACCCAGAACTAAGTTCTAGGGCACAGATGCACAGGGAGACCGGACCCCAGATAAGGGGCCGTTCAAGTATTACGTAAGCACTATAGGGGGGCGGGGGCTCTTTTCTTTGCTTATTTTGGATGACATGGGGGTGGGGGAGTCTGTATGTTGATTACGTCATCGGTCGTAATTTACTTTTTTACACGAATGGCAACCATCACATTGTCTTTGTTAAAAAAACAATACATTAATTGAGAAATGTTTACGTAAGCATGGGGGGAGGGGTAAGAGCTTTGCTTACTTTTGCTGACAAGGGGGATGGGGGTAAATAATTGTGATAAATCTGCTTACGTAATACTTGAACAGCCCCTAAACTGGGAACATGGGCCTAGACTACCGAGGCCGTCAATATATTAGTTATCATTACACGTGGAGCATACATATAGCTAGCAGCATTCGGGCTGTGTACTCTCTGACCTTTGCAGACCTATCCAGACAACCCAGAACTAAGTTCTCGGACGCAGATGCACAGGGGTGCATCTGCGTCCGAGAACTTAGTTCTGGGTTCCGGTTCGGTCTCCCTAGACCGGACCCCAGATATCCCAGTTTATCTGGGGTCCGGTCTCCCTGTGCATGGGGCTAGACTACCGAGGCCGTCAAAATATCAGTTATCATTACACGTGTGGTACACACATAGGTAGCAACACTCGGGCTGGGTACTCACTGCAGACAGACCCTTTGCAGACAACCCAGAACAGAGTTCTCTGGCGCAGATATACAGGAAGACCGGACTCCAGACAAACTGGGAATATGGGTTGGACAGAGAGAAAGACTCACTGTCCACAATAACAACTCAACTCAAAGCATCTAGTGGGATCTCACAAGTGTGTTCCACACATAGCTGGCATCATTCGAGCTGTGTACTCACTAACCTTTGCAGACAATTTTGCAGACCTATCCAGACAACTCAGAACCGAGTTCTCTGGCGCAGATCTCCAGGGAGACCAGACCCCAGACAAACTGGGAACATGGGTTGGACAGAGACACACTCTGGCATAATTCGGGCTGTGTTCTCACTAACCTTTGCAGACCTATCCAGTTTACCCAGAACTGAGTTCTCTGGCGCAGATGTACAGGGAGATCGGACCCCAGACAGACTGGGAACATGGGTTGGACAGAGACAGAGAGACTCACTGACCTTTGCACTCCTTCCGCACGGAGACCCTCATGAGGGCCGGCTCCAGTACGCCCGTGTTCGCGTTGGCGCACATCTTGCATACAAACGAGAACTCGGCGTTCCACCGCACCGCGTGGTTGCGCACCTCCTCCCTGTAACAAGACGTATACACACCGTCACTCAACTACAATCTAGTCTGGTTTCTATACGTTTTCATGAAAATTATTATTGAGGGGGAAATAGAAGGAAAGAGGGGGAGGGGAAGACCAAGGCATAGCAACATCAAACGAATTGAGGACAAAATGGGAGTCGGGTCGTATCAAGATTTAAAGAGCATGATGGAAGATCGCGGAAAGTGGCAAGAGCTCCACCGACAAGAGCATAGCTTTTAAATTATGAATGAATGAATGAATCTATATATACGAAATTTGTAGAAAAGGTCCTTTTGGCATACGCTGTAAGGGGTCCTTTTGCCGCCTTTAATTAAATATCCTTTTTTACCCATTTCTAAGAAAATTTGAGATGACATTTCGCACACTTATAGTTTACTAGCGATCCGTCCCGGCTTCGCACGGCTGCAAATCTTTGAATTTCTCGGCTTGTTCTATAGTATAACACACATGTATTATACATATAAACCTTCCTTTTGAATCACTCTATCTATTGCTGAACTCCATTAAAATCCGGCTAATTTAAGAGATATAACCGTTCGCTTATAAAGAATGGAGATGACTTTGTTTTAGACTATATAAAGATATAGAGGAACGCCGAATAAAAATATTTTTTTTTAATTATTGACTTCAAATCATTAGGACTATAGACAAATAATATTGAAGACAATCATCTCCAATATTATTTGTCTATAGTCCTAATGATTTGAACCACTACAAACAAATATGCTAAAAATCTTTACAAAATTAGTACAAAACAAATATAAAACTGGCAACACTAAACGCACGAGCAGTTCACCATACAACTATGCCATAAACAGATTATGCTAATGTTTATTCCGCTCGACATAGATAATAGCGCCACGTTCCCCAGTGACTTTATTGTCGTCGCTAATAGTTTGGACAGACAAACAAACGCATTTGTTTAATAGCCACTTACATATCTTAAATGGTGCACTCAAAATATGCAAGTGTAATTTTTATAATCTGTGGCGTTTTTGGTTTGCGCGGGAAAATGAATTTCTTGTACAACTTTATCTGTGCAGATATTTCTCAAGTTCTGTAATATAACATAACTAGCTACTCGGCCGGTTTCGCACGGGTGTACATGTATTATAAATATATATACCTCTTGAATCAACATATATATAAACCTCTTGAATGTCTATAAAATACTATTTAAACACAGAGTACACACAAATAAATCCGTTATATATATAATTATATATACAAACCTCTTTAATCACTCTATGTATTAAAAGAAACCGTTTCAAAATCCGTTGCATAGTTTTAAAGATTTAAGCATACATAGGAACGGAGAGACAGCGACAGCGACTTTGTTTTATACTATGTAATGATAATACAATATTCAAGTACCGAAAAAACAGGTTTCTGCATAGTTTAGCTACCAGGGATCAATGTAAAATGTAAATATTGGATATAAAATAAAATATTAAATGAACAATGTAAAATAAATAATAATTATTATTATAAATATCCCCAAGACAATTCACACAGCGCCATCCAGTCCCAAGCTAAACAAAGTTGGTGTTATGGGTACTAGACAACACAATTTCTATCAAACGCGTATATAAATGTAACTAGCTTTTGCCCGCGGCTTCGCTCGCTTTAAGAAGTACTATTATTAATTAGGTATAGTTTTTGCGGCTTTACAGTATTTTCATACAAACTTTCATCCCCTATTTTGTCCCCTTAGGGGTGGAATTTATCAAAATCCTTTTATAGGGGATGCCTACGTCATAGTAGCTTTATGCATACAAAGTCTCAGCCCGATCAGTTTACAATTGACAAAGTTTCATACAAACTTTCAACCCCTATTTTATCCCCATGGGGGTAAAATTAACCAAAATCCTTTCTTAGCGAATACCTACTTCATAACATCAGCATGTAGCAATTTCAGCGCGATCCGTCCAGTGGTTTGAGCTGTGCGTTGATAGATCACTATGTCAGTCACCTTTGAGTTATATATATATTAGATAAATATATAAATGAAACACGTCCGTAACCACATCAGTGATATCTTATTTTAATGAGAGCGTCACACTAATATCTACCTACATATTTAGTTATAAAAAGGAATCACAATTACCTACATTCATAGAAGACACAGACCTATACAAACAATCATACTAATGAATACAAATGTTTGTACCGTGCATGGAATCGAACCCACGACCATCGGAGACGGCAGTGTGCTAAACTATTAGGCTTAACTTACGACTAGATGGGACTGTGACAATTGTCACGTGCTGCTATAATTATTACAGTTTTTTTTAGGGATGAATATGGTGTGGTGCCTCAGCCTGCGCTAACGGTACAGGCTGGCCCCAGTAAAGGACGATACAATGATAACGAAGTCAGGTCACATATTCTTAGTTATAAAAAGGAATGGGATTGTCAGTAATGTGGACTAATGATCCCCTTGCTAGCAATGTACCATGTCAGATCGACCTCCACGCGGATTTCCCCTGGAAACCATCGTGATACATTCCCGGTGAATTTGTCACGTTGGGCTAACTGATCTGACCTCATGTTCATCTTATCATCCTCCACTGGTGCTCCGCCAGCGTAAACCGTTAGCGCAGGCGGGTGCACCATTCCATTATCATCCAAAAAAAAAAATACGACAGCGTCGGTGGTCTAGCGGTTTAGCCATCTTACTTCCGATGGTCGCGGGTTCGATTCCTCGCACGGCGCAATTGTATTCATGAGTATGATTGTTTGTGTCGGTGTGGGTGTTATCTATATATAATATGTATGTATTTACGATTTCAAAAAAATGTATTTATCAGTTATCTAGTAAACAGAACAAAAGCTATATTTAGCTTAACTTGTGACTAGATGGCGCTGTGTGAATTGTCCTGAGATTATTATTATTATTTCACTAGTAATTAACACGGATGGTTTCCAGAAGGGACCGCGTGCAGGTCACCTGACATTCCTAGCAATGGGGTCACTCCCCTTATTACTTCAATTAAACAAAAAAAACATTTTCACCGGTTATCGTTACACAAACCGCTGCGAATGACGTATTTAGTTCACTGGGGTTATAGTCTGAAATATCTTGGCTAGTGGGTTACAATGTTTTCTTAGTACCGCGGCACAGAGGCCCCTCTCCACTGGGCACATTGGGCACGAGCCCAGGGCCCCGCGATAGATTGGGGCCCCCTAGTCTAGTCTAGTCCCTACTCCATTACCAAACAATAACCGATAGCCACTGTCCTCTCGCCAACAATCAGTCTCAACAAATGCTTACCGACTATGGTCAATTTATTTGTTTTTGTTATTTTTTTTATTATAAACTAGGGTACCCCCTAGTTTATAATAAAAAAAAACTTTGTAAGCGTGGAATTTAACATTATTTTTCTAAAATAAAAGCAGCCTAATTTACTCCTTATTACATCAGCTACCTGGCATTTCAGAGATTACCGGAACAGACAGACAGACAGACAAAAATTGTAAAAAAATGTTATTTTGGTGTATGTACCGTATTTATATCCATACGTATGTAGTAAAAACGGTTATTTCAATATTACAAATAGACACTCCAATTTTATTTATATGTCTAGCAAAATTATTTTTGCTTGGTATATTTTGAAGGTAGAACTTACCCATATACCTCTCTAAAGAGTCATGTTCGAAAATGACTGTCTATTCTAACAAAGTAGTGTATTACTATAGTCATAGGGGCCCTTTTATCCTAATGTGCTTAGGGCCTCTAAAATCAAAATAAAAAATCATTTATCCACGTAGGACATTTTAGCCGCTTATGAACGTCAAATTTTTTACATTACTATTTAAATTTTTTCCCTACCGTCTCATAAGTGAAAGACGGCCCTGGCGCCACGACGTCAGTTTGAGCGAAATATTACATCAGGTCAGTCACGAGTGGCCGGTGGACTATCGCGGCAGAGATCTGTGTCACCAATTATAACCGTTGTAAATTAACAGCAGCCATGTCCGATGTGCTTCATCGATAGACGCTGGACAAAAGATAAATAAGATAACAAAAATCTGGTCCAGTGCGACTCGGACACCGAGGGTATTATTACAAAAAGATAAACCTGGTTAACCATAGACCAAAGGATTTCTTATTACAAAAAGAAGTTGATCTCTAAACTGTCGTTCGTCTATGGTCTAACGTTAGACCTCGAACGTCTTATTACAACAAGATAAACCTGGTTTAGCACTAGTAACAAACCATAGATCAAAGGATTTCTTATTACAAAAAGAAGTTTATCTCTAAACCGTCGTTCGTCTATGATCTAACATTAGACCTCAACAGTTTCGATTCCGTAAATGAGTCTTATTTCTTCAATTGCTGCTCAATTTTGTAAACTTAACTTAATAAATAACTTTTCTGAACCGATTGGAATAAAACAAACATTTAATATTAAACGTAGCACTGCCAAACCAATCACAATTATAATACATTAGCGAAATCGCATCCAAATCAGTTAAGCTTTTTCTGTGATTTCTTTCTTCGTTTCTGTGAAACGCACATACAAACAGATAAAAGTAAACTATCAGTGTACCAAATTTCATTTAAATCGGTTCCGTAGTTTTGGCGTGAAAACGCGACAGACAGACAGACAGAGTTCCCTTCGCATTTATAATATTAGTGAGGGTGGAATATAACAAACTGTTTATCTTTTTAAAATCAGTAGTATCCTGACGACTTAGGCGTGATGACGGTTGGTCAGGGAGAGAAAGCCCTCAATGCCTACAATATTCACAATTACCTATCTCTTATGTTTTTATATCAACACTCCAACCTTTTCCCTCCAACACTCCCGCTGCGTCAGTTGAATCCAGCCATCAATCTAATTGTCAATGTCACAAAGATTATTTCGGCTCTGGCCTCTGCCGTTTCGTTTCAGCTACTGAATGATTTAGATAAAGAAGCATGATTATTGAATTTACCATTTTTAATTAATGGTGCCTCACACGATAGTAATAGA